GCTACTTTTTCCCAGATTAGCAGCTCCTTATCTTCACAAGGTGGAAAAAATGACTAAATTAGCCTGGAAAAGCAAATAGTTCCTGGCACGCGCTGCGGCCCGTTGACGACCGCCCTAATCAACTGCCCGGATGACGAGGTTACAGCGTTGCGCAGAGCATCGTAGGCGACTTCATATTTTCTTACCGGGAACTGGTTGCACGTAGAATTCGGTCTCAGGGTATTTGTCAGCCGTGACGTCTGATGACTCAGCATTTCGTTTTGCTATCTGCGTCCCCCTCACACTAACGAACCCTGCGTCCCTGCCCCCAAAATGTTATAGCGCACACTGAAGAGCACGCTAGGAGCTCACGTGATTACCTCGTGAATACTCGGCATCGCATAGTGAGGCATCTAGACAGCTAAAACTGTGCAGGGTTTGGAAGCAAGTCACGAGTGCATTTTCAAATTATTTTATTTATCCTTTCTAATGCAATACAATATTTGAACAAAACTTCTTCATTTGAGCAAGACCAGTCATCAACAGAAGAATTCAGACTGAGATATGAATAAACAAGAGAAAATAGCAGAGCATCGCAGAGTACGAAATTATAAGAAGAGACAGTAACCGCACACTGCAGTGCACAACATGATAACAAACAAGAGACAATAACAGCACATTGCAGAACAAATGTATAGTGTAGTTCGCTGCGGACGGTTGGGCGTGTCAGGCGGGATGAGTTTGGCGCGGTGCCAAACCCGTTCTCCACCAGTTGTTAAAGCGAGCAAATGATATGACTGTATCATATCGTTCGTATTACTCGTTTTCTACCACTTTTTGTCGCATGCGCGCTTCAACAAGAAGGCAGAGAACGGCTTTGACGGGTGACACACTCATACTGCCTGACACGCCCAACCGTCCGCAGCGAACTAAAGTGTAACAAACAAAAGACAATAACAAACATTGCGGAGCAGTATGGAACACTAAACGCTGAATATCATTGTGAGAATGAAAATTTCATTTGCCCAATCTATGAATATAAACTGCAACTTCGCATCGAAACTGTTGTTGAGATAAAGCTGCATCCCCTGGCAGAAATGGAGGCGACGAAAAATCCATTGTCAGAGGCGGTCAAGAAGGTGCTCGTTTTTTTGCATGGAACGCATCATGCATCATGGGAGCGACGTCATTCACCCCAGCTGTTACCTAAACTATGTCGAATCATGTAGAAGTACAAGAAGATTTAGGCAAGTAACGACCAAGCAATGTCATACTTTATGCTCAGCGCACTCCGATGGGACAGCCGCCGATTAAGTGAGTGGATTTGGTGATTAATGCTGCTGAGCAGGCTCTCTGCGCGAACTATCTAGAAAGACCACAATGATAGGCGGTTACAGAAAAGGAGAGAATAACGGAAGAGCACACTCTTCCACTTCATCGAAGACAAGTCTTCAGCTGGCTGTGTTATTATCCTGGAAATAGATGAGTATCTCATTTCATAATAATTCCTTCACCTTGTACGGAACACACATCCTGTTTTTCACCATAAATCGCTGTGCAAGAATGGAGCACGATGGCGGACAGCTTCCAAAACACCGAGCCCGGGGATATGTCCACAAAGACAAGTATGTGCGGTAGAAAGGATCTGAAATCATCTCCCAGCATACCGAAGAAGAGCAACCAGTCAAGGCTATCAGAAGCTAGCAGGTGTTTTCATACCTCGCAGAATGAAGCTAGAAAGCATACAAGTAAAATAGTACAGTCTTCTTTGTGGACTGCGATATTTTTCTGAAGTAGATGATATGTGAACTAAATACCTAAATTGGTACAGGCTCCAATTTAACAGACCCCAGCTTCCTTGTATGTTCTTCCGTCCAGTATTCCACCCCTTTTTCACCGGTTTTACCTGATTCTTTGCTCCTCTTTCTCACATTGACATTGAAATTCAATGTAGTTTTTGATATAGGACACTGGGATATGATTTTCTATACAGTCTCAAAAAACTCGTCCTCAAAAACGTCAAAATAAAAAATCGAAACGTCGTCAAAAACGTCAAAAACTACATTGAAATTCAATGTCAAAGTGAAAAAGAGGAGCTAAGAATCAGGTAGAAATGAGAAACAGTGAAAAAGGGGTTGAATACCGGAAGAAAGAACATAAAGGGAAGCTGGGGTCTGGTACAATTGGAGCGCGCTTGTAATTGTAGCGTGTTCAAGCGCGACAATCAACGTGTGTTCAAGCGCGACAAGTCTGAACGCTGATTAATATGTACCTGTGTACATGTGACAAATACTCTTCAACTTATATGAAGTATTTCAGGTTCACATGTGAAGAAACGATGATGCTGTGCTCCTTTGGTGGCCGTCAATTTAACTGTTGCCGTTATGTTTCTAAAATTTTGACGAATATGGGGAAATGTTACAGGTTGCTCTATAATTTCTTCCGTTCCGAGATACCTTTAGCAAGGTAGCATGAAGTATATAGCAGTAGTGACTTAGACCTACATTTATCAAGATAATATGTAGCAGTTTATTTCAGCCTTGACTTACAAAGTTCTGGGAGAGATTGGATGAGCAAACAGTTTGAAGCTGGTGTTTCATCTGGGTGAGTGATTTCTGGGAGGTGAAAGTTCAGTTGAGCTCTTGCTTCTTATTCATAGGTGAACCTGATAAAATAATACTTAATATGGTGCTGTCCCGTAGCCTCATTGTAATCTGAACATGAAACACGTGAAAGAGGCGCCAAAAAATTTATTGCAAAAAACTCAAAAGAATCCAAAAGTTCTTGCAAAAATTTTTGTTTCTAATACTTCCTTCGAATATTTCGGTGCCTAGCACCTTCCTCAGCGATCTGGTCTTCTGCCTCCAATATAGCCTCCGCCGCTCCTTGCAAAAGTGCGACTTCTACAGTCAACACTAGAAGTCGCACTTTTGCAAGGAGCGGCGGAGGCTATATTGGAGGCAGAAGACCAGATCGCTGAGGAAGGTGCTAGGCACCGAAATATTCGAAGGAAGTATTAGAAACAAAAATTTTTGCAAGAACTTTTGGATTCTTTTGAGTCTTTTGAGTTTTTTGCAATAAATTTTTTGGCGCCTCTTTCACGTGTTTTAAGTTCAAAAAAATACTTTATTGTGCATCCCATGCCGACAATGAGAGTCAGATCTTTCAGTCAAAGCCTATATGACGGCCACTTCTGCAGCCGCAAAGGCTGCATTATTTTACCTCTTCGAAGAAACGTCCTGTACTCATTTGGTGTTCGGACGAAATCCCTACGTCCTGCCTGCAATAGCGAAGAATCTATTACTTTAGCCGCTCACAAATGCCTGCTTAAACCGCCGACTGCTCGTGAAGGAACCTCCGCACACTGGCCGTGGTGACGCCGCACTTTCATTTTCGACTTCTACCTCACCAGGCGTCTTTCCGCCCTTAGCTCTCACTTTTCTAAGGGTGAGATAAAGTAAAGGATAAAGTCTTCGCCGTTGATCAATCCCTTTGTGGGATGCGGCACGCATTCTACTTCCATTCAGAATCGTAGTGGCTTATTGAATGCGATGTGGCCTATACAATGACTTGCGGTGGCCAGCCGATGTACAAGTCAGTGTTTTATCCTCCCAGACGAATCTGGTACCAATTACCGTCCCCGGAGGGTAGAAGGCTTGGTTGGCCTGGGCGGGAGTCGACCCGGGATTCGAACCCGGGACCGCGCGAATGGTGAGCGCCCCACTTGTCACTACACCATCTCACAAGCAGGGTTCAGCACGGGGTTCTATATGAGGTCTCTGGGGCGGGTTTTTCCTCTTCGCTTTGTATTACTTACCATTTTGCCAATAGCATTTGAGCCGCACAACGACACTTTCGCAACCACCTTTGCAGACGAAAGGCTGTGCTCCATGAAGGTGCTTCAGTTGCACTGCAACTGTCTTCTGTATGACCGCTGTCATGTCACGTATTTACTCTTCTTCTTCGGACCTGACCAGTGCTTCTTCGAGAGAATATTAAAAAAAAAACTGGAATAAGGGCTCACATAGGTGTCAAAGCAGAAATGTGCGCACCAGCGGGAGCCGAATCCAACCGCGAGACCTACCAGTGCGGTACATCATCCTTGTAAGCTATCAGGCGGAACTCTTCATGTGCTATGGAAAAAATGGGTATCACATCAATGGAAACTTTAAGAGCCTAAGCAGCGTCCATACTTCGTGACAGCAGCAGCGATCTTCCGTACCGCGATCGTAGCTATCGTAGCGATCGCCGCGATTGTCGGTACGGAACAGAGCGCCCCCCCCCAGCGCTATCAGTTGGACCGCTCTGTGATAAATAAGAAAAGGAAATCAAACTTGTGAGACTGTTTTTCTCTTAATAATGGCTACTAACTAGAAACTTTCTCTACTTAAGAGGATCTGGAATATGAGGAAGGGGGTTTCACTTTTTTTTGAGGTCGGAATAAGGGCAACTTCATTTAATAGGTGTTTTTTTGTTTCCTTTGTTTTCATTGTTTCATTTTATATGAGTGTCTTGGAATTTCCTATTGGTTAGGCTGTCCCAACTTCCAAATATTTATAGTTTACAAGTCGAATTTAAACAACAAAAAGAAGAACTAGAATGAAACCCACCTAGAAATCGAAACACTAATGTTTTATCCAAAAGCAGGAGGAGGAGACTCTACAAATTCTTATATAACCTCGAGAAATGAAAAATACCACTAAGGAACTTCCCCTATTGAAGCTCCCACGCTTTTTGCTCATTTCTACCCTGAATCAAAATAGAGAATAGAAAAGAAAAGCAATCCAGTTTGGCCCACCTTTCCTTGAGTCAGACAAGCTTTCATGAAAGAGACCTACGCAATCAAAGGAGTAAAAAGCACTGAATAAAGCTGATTTTCTCTAGCAGCACCCGGAGGTCCAAGTAATAGCGTTTCGGCGCGCTCAGACGCGTACCAACGATCGCGGCGATCGCTGCGATCGTAGCGATCGTCGGTACGCGTCAGAGCGCGCCCAAACTTAGTTATCATTTTCAGATTGCAAATGGTATTGGATACCCACCTTGAGGAGCAATTCGACGCCGCAGCCGGTGAGTCGAGCGGAACTAAATTAGAAGTCATTCGACTATATGGTTGACCAATGAATCTTCCATTATACGTTTATAATACCAGTCGGATCGCCCGGCTGTCGCCGGGCGCTCCTCCTTCTGTGACATGGCCCGGCTTCGCCGGGCCATGCGGATTTGCCGCGTGCTAAGTTAAGGATCGTTGACCAACCACACTGTTCAAAGGAATCTTCTGCATCAGCCAAGAACTGAAAAGCAGCGCTTGTTCCGTCAAGGCGCAGAAGCAGCAGCCCCCCCCCCCGCATCACAGAAGGAGGAAAGCCGGCCTTAGC